GCCCAACCCTGTCCTTGTCCCAGGAGCCTGCTCTCAGGCTGGAAGGTTGTTGCCAAGACCAAGGACACATTGCATTTCTCTCCTTAGCCATCTCCACCCTCCTGCTGGATAACATGAGTAGAAGGCAGGACATCCTTACCGGGCCAGGCTGGATGGGGCAGAGGAGGGACCTGTGAAGTGGGAAGGAAGATGTGGGTTAGCAATGTGGTTGGAGTGAGCTGGGGAGCCAGGACTGACCTAGAGCTGTTGGGAAGCTGCACTGGAGGGTGGTTGTGACACCCCAGTGAATGGGGAGAAGACCTTTTGTAAGGCGTGTGGTCCCCTTCACGAGGGTGGGAATTTGGCATTGAAATATAAGGAGCAAGGCATTTCTGATTTGTCTTACAGCTCCTACAGATTGAGGTAAGCAATGGCTTTCGCAAGGTGTTGACATCAGACGGTCTCTTACAGATGAGTCACGGTGATGTGACATCTCATCCAGCCCGAGAGGCAGAGCCCAGAGTCCCTCCCGGTCCCCTCCTCCTCGTGCCATTGCACAGCAGGGAGGTCTCCGGGCTTCTTGGGAGGTCTCATCCCTCAGTCCATGATGCTCATCTCCTACGAGTTGGGTTTCCCTGCTCTCATGGTCTTGGTGGTGGCTGGAAGATGGGATTTCACTAACGATGGGGAAGCACCCCGGTAACGAGGTCCGAGGGACCGAGAGGGGCCATCTGTAAAACAAGGACGCCCACCCCAAGGAGATTAAACTGTTGTGTGGGATGCAGCAAAGGTAAATCCTGCCCGCAGGCTACAGGGGAAGAGGTAGTAATTAGTCCGCTTCAAGGAAAAAAAAAAATTAAAAATCTGGTTGTGAAGGCAGCGGGTTCTCTGCTAATTGCCCATCTGTTGGTTTATTAACCTTTTTCCTCAGGCGCAGGGAAACTCCTGCTCCCTCTGTCTTTTCAAAGGTCCCTTCCCAAAGGAGACCACCTGTGAGCAGCCAGACAGGAGGTCCCTCTTACTTGTTCTTAGATTTCCCATTAGAAATGTCCTTCTCCTAGGGTGGAACATCATAAAATCATTTAAAAAAAAAAACAACCCAAAACAAACCCAACCCCTCCTGCCTGACTTCATCTGCCGTGTCCCATTGCTGGTTACCAGTCTGATGGAGGAAGACTACGGAGGGAAATAGCGATACGTACCTCCTCTCGAGAAAACGGTGAAGCCCAGTATCACCAGCAAAATGAGCACTTTAATTCCCAGCGGCACAAAGATCAGGATCAGGAAGAAGGAGCTGTTGGATGCTTTGAATTTATAGAAGTACACGGCCCCCTCTGCTCTCCCGTGGCTGTTGACAGCAGTACAGGTGTATTTTCCATCGTGGGTCAGGTACCGGAGCTCCTTGGTGACGCGGTGGTTCATGCTGGTGATGGAGGTGAGGTTGCTGTAGGGTGGCCCGGTCCAGGTCAGAGCGGGCGCTGGCTCCCCCTCGGCAGTGCAGCGTGCCTGGAAGGTGCGATCCCCGTTGGAGCTGACGGTGATGTTGATGATCCTGGGGGCAGCTGCAGAAATCACAGCAGGAGAGGGAAAGTGCATCACATTTCAAAGGCAGGTCTAACACAATACACCTGGAACAAGAGCTTGGTCTTGGTGGACCCTCAGCATGTTATATCAGGGTAACGTCGGGATCAAACCTCCCCTTCCTTGTTTTTCTCGGCACTTTCTTTCCTTAGATGTCCCCACCCTGCCTATGTTGGATGGAGGTGCAAAGCCTGGGTGCGGGGGGATGTGTACTTTGCATTTTATCCCTGTAATGCCTTACACAATTTTCTGAGCTTCTGTCAACTTCAGCTGCCGTGACCTTCCATGGTGGCAGAAGGCAGAGGTGCCGTGCTGTAGCAGGGCAATCATCCATGAAGATGGGTTGCTTTCTGCAGCTACAGCCCAGTACCATCTGCGATGTAGGCAGAGGTGCAGCTGGTGACCTTTTCGGACTGGCTGCTTCTCCACATCGTCCAGGACAAGGCAACCACAGTGCTCTCCTGCAAGCGTCTCTTGGCTGTTTCCTTGGTCTCCGACCTCCAGAGCACACATGGAGAGATCCATTTGTGCGAGCCCTTTGCTCGGTGCCTGAGACTTGCCAGATTTGGCAAATTATTGTCAGGGAACATTTCCACTCTCTGCAACAACCTATTTTTGATGTTTTCCTCCAACCCTGTAGTGACCACCCAACAGCTGGTGTAGGTTCCTGGTTGATCTGCCGTAGCACACCAATCCCGAGACAGGGCCACTAATTTTGTATCCTGTGTTTGTAGCATATGGGATTGTGTAACTGAAAGAAGAGTGGTAAAGATCATTTGGGGGATGCAAAACATTAAGAGAGCCACTGTTGAACACGTCGTCTTTGGTCTGGTCTGCTAAGGAAGTGTAGCTGATATGAGCAAGCTTGTCTTATCCATTGGTCCTCTCCTCTTGGACCTGTTGGCCCATTTCATGCATTTGGTTCCTAAAGGTATTGTGAAAACTGAAGGGAACTAAATGAGTGTCCTCATGGAGGAAAAGCAGGAGTTCAATATTTACCTTATTTTTTGACAGACTGGACAGCAAATGCATAGCTTGCAACCACCTACAGCACGTCTTCCCCCTTGTCTGTGTAACGCAGGAGGGGTTTGAGGCTGGAGGACTGATCTGTAAGAAAGCTAGCTGTGTTAGTTCTCGTGTGTCTGCGTGTTTTGGTGTTTAAATTAACCGTTTAAGCAGTATTTAACCTCTCCCATTTATACTATCGGGGCCCACTCCCAAAGCGGGGTGCAGCCTGGGTATCGTATCTGCTTACGTTACCATTCCTCTGGTGTTAAAATCCAGGCAGCCCCTGAGGGACAGATCTTGCTGCCATCCTGCCCTGGTCATGCTGTGTGTAGGAGCTGCTCCAAGTGAAGGAGAGCCTTGACTACGCAGAAGTTCTCAAGAAGTAACCGAGCTCATCCTCAGGTCCCGTCTGGACGCCGTCAGTCTCACTTCACAAGGAATATCATCCGACGCACGGCACCTTTGCATTTATGGGTAAGGTCTAAGTCTCTTCCCGAGACCACCCGGGTCTCCTACTGTTCCCTCGATCTGCAAGCGCTCCCGGGGAGATAGGATTAGCGCTTTCCTGAACGGGGTCTTCTTATCACCGAACGCTGGGTCTGAACAAAGCACGTCGCAGCCCAGGGGTGCGTTCGGCACAGCCGGGACTGTGTGGTCCGTGCCGGAGACTCACCCCTGCTTGCTCTGCTGTGCTGAGCAGCTCTAAAAGGAGGTGTTTTTTCAGCCGTGTTATTCAGCTGGCAGAGCAAAGGAGCCCTGCTGCAGCGATGAGCTCTTGCGTTGGGTTTCTGTACGATGAGCAGCGTGTGGGCTTCGGTGGGAGCTGATGTGTGATTTGGAGACTCCGATTTCAGCTGCTGTGTGGTTCATCTCTCTGCTTTTCTCCCCTCCCCTGTGTCTATTTAGGCCACAGGCTCCGCATGAAGGAGCGACACCCTGCGAACGTCCATCCGACAGCTATCGCAATGGGTCCCAAGCTTATTTGGGAATCCACATGTCACTTCCATGCAGACGTTCACCCCGTGGATGGACTTCTCACCTTGTGCGACTGTTGTCTAGTGTTGCCTCAAAGGTGCTTTGCCGTGTGGCTGTTGCCCCTGTGGTTTCTAAGTGGTCCCTTGGCAAAGACTGGAGGAGCCTGAGACCGTGTGCTCTCCAGAGGGACGGGATCGGGTGTGCGTGATCGAGCTAAGTGTGACCATGGCAGCTGGAGATCCTGCTTTCAGCCACATATTGGTAAGAGCTCAGGTGTTTGTTTTTTTTTTTTTTTCCTCAGGATTCAGAACAGTGTTTCAGCCCAAGCTGGAGACAGTAAGAACCTTCAAGAGGAGGTGAAGCTCCTCCTTATGTCCTCTAATCTGGGTGTAGCTCAATGGTCAGGTGAGCCCAAGGATCTTTAGATGTTAACAGAGATGGCCAGCTCCCCAAGTTTGACATTTGTTGATTAGAGTTGGTTTTCAGGCTGTTTGTACTTAACCTTTCCTGCTCCAGAGGAGTTTGAGGCACATGAATGCTGGGTATCTTGTCTTCCCAAACCCCTGGTACCATCCAGGTCTGCTTGTGCTCACATTTGCTAACACATACTCAGCACCCCGGGCTCTCCAGTTTAAATCCTGGTAACAAGGACATCTTTTACTCCACCCCATGGGCTGCTGACCCCTCTCTGCTGCCTGCACAGATCCTGTGCTACAGGGACAAAGTGGGATCATAGAATCACAGAATGGTTTGGGTTGGACCGCACCTTTAAAGGTCATCTAGTCCAAGCCCTCTGCAATGAGCAGGGATGCCCAGGACTCATCTGGTTCTTACCCCGGCAGCCAGAGCCTGGCTCTTTCCTTACCGGTTTTGTTCCTATTCCCATCCTTGCGCTGTGCACACCACCTCATACTGGAAGGCTGCAGAAGACAATGAGTATTCCCTGCCCAAATGTTACAAATTACCCCCAGAGCTGGAAAAGCTGACCCTTTGGAAGACTATCTCAGGTCAACTTCTGTTACCATCTCATCAGTTTCCACATCTCGTGGCTCTCGCTTCCCTACGGGGTGGCTTTGCCTCCTTTGGCTCGCGTGCCCTCTTACCAATCAAATGCAGCTGGCTGCAGAAGACAATGAGTATTCCCTGCCCAAATGTTACAAATTACCCCCAGAGCTGGAAAAGCTGACCCTTTGGAAGACTATCTCAGGTCAACTTCTGTTACCATCTCATCAGTTTCCACATCTCGTGGCTCTCGCTTCCCTACGGGGTGGCTTTGCCTCCTTTGGCTCGCGTGCCCTCTTACCAATCAAATGCAGCTTTATACAACTCCACCCGGCAGAAGTATCTCTCGCTGTCGCTCCAGGTCAGATTGTCAATCCTGATGGAAAGGTCCTTGTACCGAGGGTTGCCAAGTAGTTTGTACTTGTTTTTGTAGCTGATGGCAGTCTTGCAGAGCTCGCTGGTGCTCTGACTAACGCACTTGAAAACTATCGTGCCGTTGTAAGGTTCCTTGATCCTCCAAATGGCGGTGAGGGTCCGGTCAAATGTTTTGTAGGGGTGTGTGAAAGTACAGGGCAGGATAACCATCTTCCCAAGTTCGCCAGTAACATCAGACGGGACATGAACGGACCAGCCATTGGACTGCACACCTAGAAGCCAAAAGAGATGATCAAGATTGATTTATATGGAGTGTTTAAGAGGGAAATTGGGCATCCTTCCTGCACCTGCTGTGTTGTTGCTCAGAAAATGGATGCTCTGTTCCCTTGGTGGGCCCTGTGCTGTCCTTCTTGCTGATGACTTGCAGATGATTACATAGCCCAGTTACGGTGGCTAGATATGGTACCAGTCTGCAGCTAAGCTCAGGGGACTGACTAGCTCATGTTGAAAGTGATTTAATTCCTAAGCAGGCCTTTTGTTTGTAAAGTGAACAATAACATCTTAAGTTGTTTAACACAGTCTTTTGCAGTTAACAGACATTTATGTGCTTGGAGGAACAGACTTCTTTTTTATTTAAAAAAAAAAAAAGAAAAAAGCTAAAAAGAAAAGTTTTGCATGTATTCAGAGATCTGGTGGCTTTAGGCACTGAAATGCAGTAACTGTCGCAGCCCTGTATCTGAGTGCATGCACACACACGCTCCTATGTACGTTGTGCTATTTGTTACACTAATCAGTTGGTGGCTGCGTTACCCCTGGGGAAGGCAGTAATAGCTGATGCTCTAACGCTCCATGCTGCTACCATCACGAAGTAGCATCTTATTCGTAAGACGCGACAGGATCTGAATAAAGACTTGGGGATACTCATCGTACAAGGACTGGTGAGAACGGGCAAGTTCCCTGTATCAGCTCCTGTGGTAGGAAGGAGGATGCCCTTGACAGTGAAGCAAGCATCTCGCTGTTAGCAGAGGGGGTTGTCACTACGTGGACTCTAGCTGCCAGTATCTTCCCAGGCAGGCCTCGTCCTGGTGTCACGGTGAGGAAAATCGGGAGTTTTCCAGCTGAGATGTCACAAACGGTTAGGATTTTGCTCTCTTGGCCAAATTGGGTCACAGTAAATCCTAGCGCAGTCTGGGGAACTGAACCTCACTGCCACCAGACCCAGTCTCATTGTTTCTGTCCAGTGATGAAAACAGCCTTCACCTGAAGGACGCTCCCCACCTTGGAAGTATATAGGGAAAACTCAACCTCTCATCTGTTTCCCTTCCCCAGGAACCAACAGCATCAACAAACAGCACCTATAGGCAGTGCTTTCCATATAGATATGTGTGTCTACCCACTGTCTTGCTAACTGCAACAGCTGTAGCAGCAGATTGTGGCTTTGGGAACGTCTGTGGCTATGTTCCTGTCTTATAAAACTCACTTGATGGCTTCATTAAACCAGGAGCTTTCCCCTCAATAGCTCAGAATAACTGTGAAAAATGTAAAGGCGTCCTGTAAATAATTGCCACCCATCCCCGGTCTAGCTGACTTCACTGTGGTCTATGGGTATTCAGCTGTCGGGTTAATCGTGTAAACTCAAAGATAAGATTTGTTGCTGGTTCATATATCTGTCCTCCATAATATTTGACAAATACCTCAGTGGCGGTGCAGCTCGTATTAATCTATTGTGCGCTACACAATGGACAAAGGCCAACGTAGGACCGGTTCTCTGCCATTAAGTTAATCTGGAATCAGCGCCAAGCCGGTATTTTGATTACCGAGATCTGGAGTCGGGCTGCCTTGTCATTCATTATAACTATACGAGTACCTTTTGCAGCCTAGGTAATCTAATACACAAGGCTACATGGCCACAGGGGCTCCAGGAAGCTCATGGACTTTGAACATAAGGACCTGGCAGTGAAAACAAAAAATGCTGTTGCTTTCTAGATTATTTCATGTTATTTTGTTTATTTTACAGCATGTCACTGTAACCCTTGCTTTTGGAGAGCTGCAGATAATGTGCTTTTGAGTACATGATTTGCTTTTCTCTGCCACCTTTTTGGTTTGCATTTTTTAAAAATCTTAAGCAAAGAACGTTATTTTTAGCACTTAAACGTCCCCTTGCCTTCCGCAGGGGAAATAATGTTAAAAATAAGTGCTTCTAATGTCACCAGCTCCACCCATTTCTATGGAAACCTAGTTTGCCTAGGTTATGAGTGGAGGGAGTTATCAGCATCTTCTGTATAATTTAACCTTAACCTTAAAGCTTCAGCATGGTAGGTCTTCCGTGTCTTCCTCTTGCTAATATCCAGCCTCCATTTGTTCTGGGATTGAAACTCTCACAAGAAACAGAGAAGGTCGTAGGCAAATAGCCTATACACCTTACATGAGGGAACTCCTGAAAGGAGTTGCCAGGTCAGTGTATCTGCTAGTTGTCAATGGAAAGGTCATGAAGACAAGATCAAGAGCTGGAGACCACCACAGACACTAGCCTTGCTCTAGCAAACACTGTTTGACAGTATATCTAAGCAAATCCCATTGAGTTTAATGGAACTCAAGTGCATACTTGAAGTTAAACGTGAGCTTAAGTGCTCAGTGGAACCGGAGCAAATTAAGTTGTTGCATAATAATTCCTAGGAACGCGAAAGAACAGTTCTGGGTGGGGATGGAAATGCTGCATCCAACTGCCAATGCAGGGGAAAAGTTAGATGAAGATGAACTCCCTGCACAAGTTAAAAAAGCAAAAAATGCAAAAAAAAAAAAAAACCCAAGCCAAAGACCTCTCTGACAATTGCAGAGTCAAGCCTTTGAGTTTTTCCAATATTCTCACATGCACCTGGAATTTCAGGATCCTTTTAAGCAACACGATGGATGGTGCAATTCTTGGAGTGTTTATTGTACCAGGCAATTCCCCTGGCACTTTGACCAGAGTGAGAAGAAAAGCCCTGATCAGACAGGGATTCGTAGCAAGCTCAGAACTCACCCTTCCTGGAGATATGAAGGAGGTACAGAAGAAAGAAACCGAACTCTTTCATGCTTGACGTTCTCCACTGAGGTGTATCAGCAAACCAGAACAGTCTCTACTACATCTGAGCTGCTGCTCTCGAAGTCACAAAAGGTTTTTCCAGGGATGGAAGAAGTTGTGGTTTTCCTCTCCTAGGAGGGAATGAGTTGTCTAGCTGAACCAGCTCTGGATTCGGATATTAATAGTTTTGTGGTCAGTCATGTGAAAAATCCAAGAGAGGGAATCAGAGTATTACCATTTTCCATCTAAAAGAAGGGGACTGCAGATTAGGGCTGCAAACACCCACTCCATGTGTGTGATGGTGCAAGAGGGGGACAGCTTTCAAGTGCTCCCAACTCACCGATCTGGAGGAAGTCCTTGCAATCTGCCTAAGGAGGTGGCAAGTGAGACCCTTGCTCTCCTGGCTTGAGGGAGTTCATCCTCCTGAACCCGGACCCTGCAAACCAACTGTGTTTTACCCCTTTGCTCACTGGCGGTTGTCATCCCACCCTCTTCTTTCAAAATCAGCTGAGCACTTGTGCCAAGGTTCAGCGGTGGAAGAGTGCTCTGGAGTCCTCTGGTACCCTGCTCTGTCCGGACTCCTGTGACCATTTTAGGGACATGGTTTAGTGGGCATGGTGGTGTTGGGTTAACGGTTGGACTTGATGATCTTAGAGGTCTTTTCCAACCTTTTCCAACCTTAATGATTCTATGATTCTATGACTCCAACGAGTTGCAAGTCATTCTCCTCCTTGTTGTTAACCTGAGTTTGAAATAAGCTAAGCTCCAGCTTTTGCCCAGAATCCTTGTGCAAATGCTCACCCTTTCCTTCTGGGCTTAGCTTTAGCAAACTTGCTCTGCAGTTTGCTAATCTGCAGAGCTCTGGGCTTGTGGAGTGCTGACCATGCTGCCCTCCACGTCATCTCCCATACAGTGATCCCGTGACGTTGTGAAGTTTAGCCAGCAGAGGTGCCAGGGCTCCCCTTTGCTCCCCACCTCTTAAACTCTCCGCATATGTTCCCTCCTTAACTTGCTGTGCAAAAGCTCCCAGAAGAGGGACTTGGAGATTTGGTTGTATTAAGTGTGTTTGCTGCTTTCTGAACTCCTTCTTTGTTCTGGTCACAGTTAGAGTTACTCTCCCGGTGTCTGTGAGGGGAGGGATTTCTGTTTTCCCAGACTTTTTGAAGGAGGCTCCGAGAGTACCTAGCTATTACTTACGGTGGCTTGGACCCGTGGCTACTCAGCAGAGGGTGGTATTATTTCAAATAATGACTTAGAGCCCTGTTCAGTCCCTATGCATGTCCTCCCAGAGCAAGAGAATCAGGACCCCGTGCTCTAACTGCTTTGCAAATTGCCCTTAATAGCTGTAAAAAATAATACAGCCATTGCCAGCAGAGAAACCTGAGGGCATGGGTGGTGGAAACAGTGAATAAGAGACCTGTGTCCTTATCCCATCTGTGTTATGTGTCTTTTCTGTGTACCTTCCCCATTTTCCTCCATATACTGTTTGATTTTATCTATTTGCGATGTAAACTTTTTGGTGTTGTGACTATCTTTAAGCATTTCACCCTTCTTGGCCCAGCAGGTCTCAGTGGATTGAAGTAAAAGATTAAAGTGAAATCCATGCTTAAAACATGTTGTTACAGTGAAGCATAAATGATCAATGTAAAGAATAGCTGCAGTTAACAGTTAGTATGAATCTCTCCCTATCTAATGTTTTACTCCAGCGTCTTCTAGACAAGCATCTGGTAAATCAATGCAGAAGTATGAATCCTTCAGGTTTTATCTCTAAGCTGATTTTATTTTCAGACCATGAGATAGCTATTTGCAAAGAAGCATTTTAATGTTTGAAAATGCAAAGTTGAAAATGTATAGCTGAAAATGTTTGCAAACTATTTGAATCAGCGAAAAAATTTTGTAAACGAAACCATCCATGGCTATATAATCCACAGACTCTGTTATCTGTGACTTTTTTTTCCAGGCCTGTGCTTAAATGGTATCCAAGATTTCTGTAAGGAGGGCTGCTTCTGGTCCAACACCAAAACCAGGCTGGCTTCCATATTCATCAAATTCTGTTTTTCTTCCTGGTAAATCTTTTTTAAGGGCTGTAGGTAATGACAGCAATTGTTACGATACTTTACTAATATCTTCCCTCAGTGCTTGTACAGAAGCAACAATCACGCATCCGGTCCCAGAGACATCCCAGTTTCTGGTGCTTTCCTGTGCTATGAAAATACACGGAATCTGGAGATAGAGAATGGAAATTCGTGGGTTTTCCCACTCAGAAAATGGATGAACCCATTTAAATAAAAAGAACCTGTAAATAAAAAACTGTAAATACAAGTAAGTAGCAATCGAGTGTAAGCCAGTGGCAATTTTTCAGCCAAGGATAGGGAGACATCTGCCCATCCTGCCAATGGTATGGCCAGTTCACAGTGTGCTTTTTGGCAGCTGAAGGGGAGTATCTCACATCCCCATCACCGTTACGGCGGCATCTGGTCCTGTGAATAGCAGTCCTGGGTTTTGAAGGTTACCTTTGAAAGATGGTACCGACTAAATCAAAGTGCCTTCAGCAAGTGCCAACATCAGCCTTTGCTCCCTGGACTTTGCCGCCTCTGTCTGCCCTGAAGCCAGGCGATGACCCCATGAGGTACTGAGAAAGGTGAGAGACGTATGGTGTCTGGGTGTTGCTTTGCCTACAGTAACTATGTGTGAGTGGCACTGTACGGATTAACCTACCATACCATATAGGTTGCAATTTACAGGTGCGATCTGATGGAGAAAGCACCGAAGGAGGGGAGAATGATGTTGAAATAAACTGATTGCGGTTGTCAGTGGCTGTATCTTGCTAATGCGAATGTTTTACTGGACCAGCGGCATTT